TTTAAAATGTCTCAAGTTACCATTCATTTAATATAACAATTTACGAATGTAGGTTACAAGGCAATTTGGATATGTTTTGACATGTCTGAAGTTATGTGAGAATTTTGCAAACATACACCCACTCAATGAAGTGGTGAACACCTACTGTTTACATTAAATGGAATGTTTTTGGAATGCAAATAATAATATGCAAATAATAACTTTATGAGTTTATACTGAGATATTTTGCGAACAATATAATTATGCATTTTTCATTTTTTTTTTTTCATTTGAATATTTATAAATAAATTCATCTTTAACTGTAAAGATTAATTTTGTAAAGTTGTAGATATTTTTTTATAGATTTTTTTATTTTTAAACAATTTCATTTTGTCATATCACAGTATCTGTGCATGATTTACCTACGCACAACAAGAGATTTATCTAAATAAAAACTTGCCTAATTGCATCAGCATTGCCAAGGGCGTGGGTGTGCTGGGTGCATAAAAGTAACAATGAAAACAGTTCTCTAAGTTTAAAATAATCGACAGTATATGAAGTCAGCAATATGAAGTAGTTGTTGCCACTGATTAATGAATTATTTATGATTAATCTAATTATTACATCAGTATAGAACCAAATAGCGTTAGTAGTTGGTTAAAACAGAGAAAAAAGTAGGTCATAGCCTAGGTGGTGAGTCATAATGTAAAACATTTTATCGGGTCAGTATATCAAAATTACAGTATGGCGTGAAAATTATTGAGTGTCAAGCAATAGCTTTAGGCTATAGGTGTGATATTGAATTGAAGATGTGACTGGTTAACTTTGAAATTGAATTTTGTCCTAACTTAATGATCTTATGTTAATTATTGATCGGCAATAATGAATGGAGAAAGTGAATTTCAGTTCAGAGTTTGGTCCAGGTGTTCCGATGGACAGGCTGGCAGGGCTCATAACTGGTGGCATTTAATGTTGTATCACCATCAATGTACTTAATTCAGATATAAAAATTATATTCCACTCATTTCCTTCTTGAATTACCATATTCAAATGCCTTGAAATCTGAATCAACCAAAGTCTGGGGGGGTGGGGGTTTGGGGCCAGAGAGGTAGCTTGTTTTGTGATATTAAATTTTGTTGAAAGGAGAAATTGGCAGTTCATAATTATGAACTTGTCTTTGGCAATTCATAAGAGTGTCAAGTGTTTGACAATAATTATTGTGTCCGGGTTTTGTGAGAGCATTGTATTTTATGAAGGTTCCATGACCCCATTGTACAGTTTTTTACATAACAGCATCATATTTTATGTTTACTTATAAAAATAGCAAATTATATGAAGTGTACATGACATTTTCCTAGTTCTGTTCAGAATTGTAAAAAAAAAAGTTTAAAAAAATAGGTTAGAGAACTACCAGCCAGCCTCCCTTGGAGTTAATGCAAAGTCATGAACATAACCTGATTTTCCTTTGATGTTCTTTGATGCAGGTGATGAAACAAAGAAAGTTTTAGGAGTGTGGTTTTAATTAATTTAGTGTATTCGCTTTTAATCAAGATAGCATTAAACATAATATGCTCAGGTATATTAAGAAAAGATGAAAAGCATGTAAAAATAGGGTGTCTATATGCAGATGGGATAAATTAAGCAAGTTGGTGCATTTATTTTACTACAACATCATGTTGCAAATGATGATAGGCAGCTTTCAAGTGGATCTCGAGGCTTCTGTTATACATATTTCTTGGTGATATTTTTATGATTTTCATTATCATTCATTCCAGTAAAAATAAAATCAACAATTATTTCAGTGTCTGTAATATATTCAGTGTGTTTTGTAATGTATAGCTTTGTGTAACATTGCAAGCTGTTCTTTTAATTGATTTTTAGCTCGACTATACGAAGTATATGGAGAGCTGTCCTACTCGCCCCGGCGTCGGCGTCCGCGTCCAGATTTTAGATTAAAGTTTTGGTGCAGTAAAATGTTCCCTCATCCAAGCTTTAGTGCAGGATGAGGGTCATTATTGGAATAAAGCCGGAGGCCGAGCATGTATACATAGCATTCCTTCCTGGACGTATCGATTAAATCGCACTTTAAAAAAGAATCAAATCTCCCGCGTAATGAGGTATTCCCCATCGCACATGCGCAGTACACCATACAATACCGGAAGTAAACCCCGGAAATTTCATATCTTTAACATGTTTTTGTTGCAAAGAAGAAATATGGGCAGGGTACATAACAATACATAAAATAGTGGGCGGGTAGTATACATGCTCGGCCTCCGGCTTTATTCCAATAATGACCCTCATCCTGCACTAAAGCTTGGATGAGGGAACATTATTTTCATAAAGCCTTCGGCTTTCGCATGTATACATAGCATCTTTAAAGGCAACAAAAACTAAATTTGTGGCAACATAAAACTGAAACTGACAAAAGTAAAGTTCATACTAAAGAAAATCATTTTTAATTCCCAATACAAATTGTAAACAACAATCTATATAGTAAGAAAATTAACCCAAACACTTTGAATACAGCAAGTAGAGTATATACACAACACAGGACTCTCATAGTACACAATCATCAACATGTCACTTGAATTATATAGTCTAGTAAATAAATTGTAATACTGGTCGATAAACTCAACTGTTAAAAACAGCCTGCGTATAAGTCAAATTACTATTACTAGAAGACTGTCTGTAATAAAATTTCTTAAAGTTTTTGTCTGACTTCCAGTCCGCAGTTTCTAAGATAGACTTCAAAGAACAACCACTGCTGAAGGCTGCTGATGTAGATACACCTCTAAAAGAATGAGCTTTATAAATATCCGTATTGATACCGGAGAGTTCTAAAACTGTCTTCAACCATCTGGCTATAGTACTGCTAGTTACTTTATCAAAAGTTTGAAAAGAAATGAATAAAGACCTAGATAATCTACAATTCTCAGTTGCCTTAAGATAAGCTAAAAGAGTATGCATAGCACATAAACTTTCCTGAGAAAAGTGTTCAATACGTAGTGAAAAAGAATGACCAATTTTAGAAGTCTTAAGTAAATGTGGAAACAAAAACACAATATCTTTCTCTTGAATTAACATATTATCCAAATTCATAGCTGTTAAAGTCTGAGCTCTAGGAGCTGTTGCTAACGAAATCAAAGCAACCACCTTAAAAGTCAACATTTTAAGAGTTAATTTGTTCAAAGGCATAAGAGTTTTCAAAAACTTCAAAACAATTGTCACATCCCAAAACACTAAATATCTAGGCCGCGGAGGTTTGAAGTTAAACACACTTTTCATGAAGCGAGGAATTAACTCACACGATTTGCACCAACGGTTTCCAAAAAACGGCAAAGTCTGCAAAAGCATAGACTTATGACTATTAATTACCGAATAGGATCTTCCTAATTTAAATAAATAAAACAGATACATTACAATTTCATCTTCAGTTGTATTAAGGGGATTTGACGACCTGACACAGTTCCAAGATGACCATATTTTCCAGGCGCTTTGATACTGCTTCTGTGTTCCTCTTGCCCATGATGATAAAATGAAGTCGGCAAGGTCTGACGAAAAACCTCGACTTTGGAGCGATTTCCCGATATGATGGCTGCGACCAAATTTAAACGCTTCCCCAATGGGTGTTGTTCTAGACTGTGTGGCAGTACGAGCAAATCCCTGTGTCGTGGTAACCTTGAGGGAATAGAACAAATACATTCTAAAAATAATAGGAAACCATGGTTGAGATGGCCATAAAGGAAATACTATTAGAGCCTTATCAACTTCATGCAGTCTTACTTTATTTATAACTTTTGTTATCATATTAAATGGAGGAAACAAATATGGACAAAGTCCAGACCATGACATATTAAACGCATTTACAGAATAGGCTCCTGGCTCTGGAAACCATGTTACAAACTTGTCTAATTTTGTATTTAAACGTGACGCAAACAAATCTATATCCGGTAAAAAATATTGTTTACAAATTCTGTCAAAAACACTTTGTTTCAACATCCATTCCGAAGAATTAGAGAAATTTCTAGAATAAAAATCTGCAGTATTTTCTTTTCCTGCAATATGACTGGCAGACAAACAAATATTCCTTTGAATGCACCAAAACCAAATATTTTTAGCTAAAGAATCCATAGGTATTGAATGCATACCACCAAACTCATTTACATAGGAAACTGCAGTAGTATTATCACACTGTACTTCAATATGTTTATTGGAACAGTTAGTGTAAAGAGCCTTTAAAACATAAAAAATTGCCAATAATTCTAAATAATTGATATTGTTGTTCGACTCCTCGAAGGTCCATCTGCCATTTGTATGCATTTGAGACTCTAGGTCTATCCCCCCAAAACCAGATAAGCTCGCGTCCGTTCTACATTTAATATCCACAGGTTGTGGTCTTATAAACTTCCCATTTTTAATAACAGTATTTTGTAACCACCATTGTAACTCCTCTAAAGAGGTTGTAGATAAATTCATGGTCTGGTCAAAATCCATAGTGTTGCCAAGAGCAAAAATTTTATCTCTCTCTAAATCACGATAATGTAATTTAGCCTCAAAAACAGCAAAAAAGGCATTGATAACAAGACCAATAAAAGATGCTAATTCTCTTATAAAAACATTCTTCTTTGAAATAAGAAACTTGGCTTTAGAAATAATTTTTTGTACTTTTTCATCAGGTAAATAGACCTTAAATTCAACGGAATCAATAATAAAACCAAAAAATATTATCCTTTGAGAAGGTACAAGACTGGATTTGTCTTGATTGACAACAAAACCTAATGATTCTAAAGTTTGAACTAAAGTCATTGAATTTTTTGAACAGATAATCTTATCTTGACTCATATTCAATGAATCATCAATGTAGTAACTGCATCGAATATCTTGTTTTTCTTAACCAAGCATAGACTGGTTTTAATATTTTGTAAACAAATAAGGCGCAATGGAAAGCCCAAAAGGTAAACATGAAAATTCATACAAGTTTCCATTCCATTGAAAACTTTAAATATTTTCTATAATGTTCATGTATAGGAACAGAAAAGTATGCCTCAGACAAATCAACTTTTGTAAAGTAATCATTTCTCTGTATCAGATCTAAAACAATATTAAATGTTTCTTGTTTGAAATGATTATAACATACAAATTCATTGAGATATCTAAGATTAATGACTGGCCTAAATTTACCATTAGGCTTAGCAACAATGAATAAAGTAGAGATAAACTCGTTACACTGGTGAGAAGATTGCAAAACGGCACCTTTTTTTAATAAGAGATTCAACTTCATCATTAACAATTTCCACTGTTCACCTTCAAAAGGAATTTCTTTAGGTATTTTATTCTGAAAAGGTTTCTTTACAAAATCAATTTTATAACCAGAAACTACTCCTAGAATCCAAGGATCATTTGTGTATTTTTTCCATTGGTCTAAATGTAATTTTATTTTTCCAACTGAACTTACCTTATTTAAGCCTGATCGTTTGGGGCTGTAGCAGTTGCAGTAGGTACAGATCTTCTAAAAGGTCTGGATCTTGGCATATTCCTATTATACTGACCTCTTGACTGGTAAGGCTGAGTTCTAGAGATGAACCTAGATGAATAGCTTTTCCTAGGAAAACGACCTCTGCCTCTAAAATTGCTCCCATATAATCCATATAAAGGACTTTGTTGACTGAAGGTATTCCCTAAGGACAATGTACTCTCACAATTCTTTACCTCTTTACTTATGTCATCCCCAAAAAGTTTAGTTGTAACAGGCATTGAGGTTTGACAAAGACTAGCATACTTCTTTTTAAGCAATGGCCGAATAGAATATCTTCTCCGAAGAGAAAGATTATACTGTATTTGTCCTAGGACAGTAAACAAGTCACACATTACATTCTTAGCGTCTGGAGATATGTTACCCTTAATCAACTCGGCTAATTTAATTACTGTGCCAAAACCGGTAGCCACTAAGTTTTGAATGTTAACTAACATCTTATCATTCAAATGAGACTTTTTGTCCAAAATTTTCCAAATTTCTTGATTCACTAAAGGTGGGCTAGCCATTTCGCAGTTCTCAGGCACCTTATACTCATTTGTAAGGGGATCTGTATCGCAAAGAGCTGTACAAGAGGTATTGATCAGCTCAGCCAACTTAGTAGAAACAGCTTTGCCTTTTAAAGGAACCTTCAATTTTGGCATAGCCCAATCAATTTCATCCGAAGATAAAAAATTGTTATTTTGGTCACTTTTAGTCGAACCATCATCAAAAAGTGCCTGAGAAAACCCTCTAGAAAGGGAATCACGACTATATGTCTGAATAGACTGAACACCAGCATGTTCATAATTACCAGAATCATCTTGTTCAAAAGGGGCATATTCATTGTCAGATACATTATCTGCATCGACCTGAACAGTAATATTAGGTCTAACAGACAAATCTTTTTCGGCAAAATAAACGTCATCGTCATTATCAACAGGATTCGAATCCACCTGTTGTATGCCGAGCAAACTCCTAAGAGATGCAATGTCAGCGGCTGACAACTTCGAAACATCTAATAATGGCCTGTCCGAAGACTTCTCCGAAGAGATTTGGCCAGAACTCTTATTTACCACATGAACTGTGGACTTTAAGGACTTACCTTTGGGTTTTTTAGACTTCGTTACATTTTTTGACCGCCGAGGAGGTTTAGACGTTTTAGGCATGTCAGACTCAGAAAATCCAGAAAAACCCTCTTCCGAAGAAGACATAGCGGATAAAACATCATCCATGACAAAAACAAATAACAAGGTATACTTTACCTACCAAAAAATTAAAAGGTATAACCAGAAAGTAAGCGTAAAATAACCAACACGTGCGTAACATCGAAACGCCAGAAAAGATATGAAATTTCCGGGGTTTACTTCCGGTATTGTATGGTGTACTGCGCATGTGCGATGGGGAATACCTCATTACGCGGGAGATTTGATTCTTTTTTAAAGTGCGATTTAATCGATACGTCCAGGAAGGAATGCTATGTATACATGCGAAAGCCGAAGGCTTTATGAAAATAATATTTTTCACTATAACATTGTCATTTCTTAAGGTATCAACTTCAAACTTCAAATATATGTTCCTTATCATCAACCACATCATATGTGACAAGGTTCATAACTCTAGCACCAATATTTTCAGATTTATCTCCCCTTGAACTTAGAATTTTCCTTAAAAAATACTATTTTTTACTGTTACTTCCCTATTTCTTAAGGGATCAACCTCATACTTCAAATATATGTACCTTATCATCATCCCCATCTTATGTGACAAGGTTCATAACTCTAGCACCAATAGTTTCAGATTTATCTCCCCTTGAACTTAGAATTTTCCTCAAAAAGTACTATTTCTTACTCTTTCTTCTTTATTTCTTAAGGGATCAACCTCATACTTCAAATGTACTTACATTATCATCATCCCCATCTTATGTTACAAGGTTCATAACTCTAGCACCAATATTTTCAGATTTATCTCCCTTTGAACTTAGAATTTTCCATAAAATTTTTTTTTTCTGTTATTTATTTATTTCTAAAGGGATCAACTTCATACTTCAAATATGTTTCCGTTATCATCATCCACATCTTATGTGACAAGGTTCATAACTCTAGCACCAATATTGCAAGAATTATCTCCCCATAAACTTAGATTTTTTTACTAGAAAAATGTTATTTCTTATTATAACTTTTTTATTTTTAAAGGTATCTACCTCAAATTTCAAATACTTATTCCGTATCAACAATTACATTTTATGTGACATTGTTCATAACTCTTGATGCAATATTTACAGATTGATCTCTCTTTGAACTTAGGATTTTCTTTAAGAAATATAATAACTTCTTTTCTTTTTAAGGTATCTACTTCAAACTTCAAATATATATTTCTTATCATTACACAAATGTTGTGTGACAAGGTCCATAACTCTAGCATGACTATTTCTAGAATTATGCCCCTTGATCTTGGAATTTATGTTAACAAATATTATTTTTTTACTATAACTTAATACATAATTATACATAATTGATTTTTCTTTCATAGTTTTGTCCTCCTTACTGCGTCCAGTATTTCATTAGTCGAGCTTCGCTGTCTCCTGTGACAGCTCTTGTTTATAGGCTCATAAGATATAGAAAGGCCTTGACCAGAATTTTGCTTACTTGCACAATTTGTTTAATAACTTGTTGACTAACAAAACATGAAAGACCTGTGAAGTATTGGAGTTATTATTCTGATACTGATTAGCAGCTCATCTGTTTTCCTTTACTTAGCAGTTAGACTTCCTCTCTTGTTACTAGTATTACTTTATTCTTATTTCATTGTTTACAAACGTTTTACGCAGAGAACAAAGTTTTCATCAATTACAATTTGTGCCAGTTTTGAGACATGCCAGTAATTTTACTTACGGCATCCAAGTTTGTTTATTCATTATTTACAATTTTTTTCACCATTTCTACTTTCAGGACCCAAGTTTGTTGTGGTACTATATTCAAGGGAATGAATGGAGAAGTTCTTGTTGATCCAACACTTCTGAAACCATGCTGGTCCTGTAACAAAAACAAGTCCTCCCGTACAAATAAGAATAAGGAACTCAAACGCAGTACTTCTTTAGAAGATACGGATAGTAATTTAAGCGCGCCAAGTTTCAATGTGGCTGACTTTTATGAGGCGAACACTCCCGAACCAGAGACGCCTCCTGAAAGTCCACCAAACAGTCCAAAAGACTCTTTATCAGAAACCGACGGCCTCACCACACTAGCAAATTGTACCTCGAAAATGAACTTTGTGTCAAACCACTCTATACCAATGGAATGTTAAATTGTGAAGCTATACTTGAAAAGTATTTGAACTGGCCTCAACTCATTATTAATTGTTTTTCAATTTTACTAATTTTGTGAGTAAAAAATGCGGATTTTTTTTTTGGTGAATTTTTTTCTTAAGGTTCTTTGACATATTAAATGGCATATTTGGATAAAAAGGAATACTAATTAAGAGATGAGGTCCAGGTCAAAGGTCATCCCAGTGTTTCTATCAAATGATATCAGGGATTCATGTACATTAAGGATGTCTACATTATACTTGCCAGTAAAATTACTGAAATACTTTTCAGTGATTTAAATGTTGTGATAATATAGAACCTGTTCAAAGAAACATTGGAAATTAAGTGATAAAATCTGATGTGAACATTTTAGCTTTTCCCCCAAAAAATATATTTCTGATTGAATGACATTGATCTCAGGAATTGCAAAATAGATGATAAAACTTTTATTTTATTCTGTGTCCCAATAATTAATTGTGAACAGGATCTGCATTGTGATGCTTAGGATAGGAGAGGAGAAACTGTGTTGATGTGACAATACAATGGCTGTTTTCAGTGCATTTTCCCCCCCTTCATGGCAAATTAGACATTTTTAGCACCTGAGGATTGAATAATTTCTGTCGTTTTTAACCTCATTTTGGTTTGTGTCTATTTATTAATGTGCAGAAGATACATGTTGCCATGGAGATTGGAATAAAAGGTCAGAACTGATGATGCGAATTTTCATTGGTTGATATAGAATGTCTTTGACGACCTTTTGTCTGGTTGATATAATGATATTGAGTGGTCTTCATATTTATGCCAAGCATCCATGAACAAATGTTTCAAGGTGTATTTTCATGTCATACGCATGCAAGAAAGGACTGACGTCATTAAAGAAGAGGATGAGTGGGATAGTATCGGTCAGGATGACCTTGAAGTGTCAAGGCATTAAACGACCTTGAACTTCATATATACAAGTTTCTAGATCTAGTCAATATTTATTCACATTTTTTTTTTTATACTTTTATAATAAAAATCCATGACTGCCAATGCTCTGTGTGTCAAAACAGGTCTATTTTATTGTTCATGTCATGTCAGTATTGTAAACCAGGTCAGTTTGTGTTAAAATGTCTCCAAGAATATTTTTTTTTTGTCCTTCAATTCATTTCATTATTAATAAATGTTAGGCTAGTTTCCGGGTAAAAGGGACTGGATGAAGGTATTAAAATGCAACTCTTTAATTTGCATCTCTTAATTCTAAAGCTCAAACATAAGCTCATTTTTACTTGCATGTCATTTATATAGCTCCTTGGAGTAGTTTCATGTACATCTGATAGTTTTTTTAAACTTTTTTTTTTCATATTAAAACTACTGTGAAAATCATTTCATCTTAGGAAAACAATACTGTTTTAATACTGTTTTCAATACATGTTATTGACTATGCAAGAAGTTAAATTTTTAATTTCAATTCTAACTCCTTATTTCAGCATAAAAGGCAAAATAAGTGCAAATGTTCCTTCGTAAATTGATCTCAAGTGTAAACTTCTTCTGTCTGTCTGATAATATACTCCCATGACCTTTTGATTGATTTTTTTCTTTTTTTGTATTTCTGGTGCCAAGTTAGAAATACCATTATTTTTAATGAGATTTTTTAGGAAGAATCTTCACTGTCCGTGAAAAGTTTTAAGTCAATGTCTTTGTATTGCATAGCTAGAAAAAAGGGAGAAGAAATAGTTTTTGCATGTAATTTTGAAGAGTTTTGGTTCTTTTATGTTTGCATGTTATAAATATTCATACAATCAGGAGTATTGGTTATATTTTTTTATTATTAAAGGATAAGATAAGTAAAAGCAGTTTAAGGAAAAAGATTTTCTGTATTAAAATATTCAAGATGTTTGACATGTCATGTTTGTTAAACCTTTATTTAGCCATGGTCAAAAGTAAAAGGAAAAAGTAAACCAGTCATCAAAACAAAGCATAAAATTGGTGGATACCATTCACTGATGATGAATGGACCAATGGTAGAGCGACATTTTATGACTGGTTATCAGTTTCTGGTATATTTTTATTGCGGACCATATGGCATGTTATTTGTAGAAGTCATGGTGTTAAAAGAAACTTGTATATGGTTATCAAAGAGAAGAGAGTATTAAATGGAAAGTTGTATATAATGTAAATATCTATTTATTTATTTAAAATTTATTTATTGAGACACGTTTATCTGAGTATTCTTCAATTTTCTGTATTATATATTCCTTTGGATGAGTTTGCCAGTGGCAAGCTCTTCGAAGCATCAACATGATCAAAAACTGTTATGACACCAATTTTTGAGAAAAGAATCTGGGACATATGTCCATGACAAATTAATACGATAAACAAACTTTTAACTTTTTCCTCGACTGTATTGTGATATTTGTTTAAGTTATGGAAGAGATGTTTTTGTTTTAACCTTCCATAGAGAAATATTGACAGTTTAATTTTTAAATTATAATAAAAAAAATATTTGTGTTTTGAATAATTGTAAATTTTACATCTAAATTGAAAGACCTTATACAACCTAAATAGATCAAATGTTACAAAGTTACGATTACTTTTTTTAAGATCATTTATGTAAACTGAAGTAATATGGAAATACATGTTTGTTGATGTTTTTGTGAATTTTATATTTTAAACAAACGGTGTAAATTTTGTCATTCCACCCCTTACCCTGCTGGTGGCAAGTGATTTTACCCCAGCGACCACCCCAGATCAAGATCAGTCCACATGTTTGTGCCGTCAAATCATGGTCAACAGTGATTGCTATTCAGTCAAAACATACTTTGATATTCTTACCTCAAAATATTAAACAGATTTGTCCAGATTGAAAGTTGGACGTGTCCATTTAAGATATTTAGTGGGGTAGAGGCTTAATGGCAAAAATGTATTTGTTTCCTTTGTAGATAATCATAAAACTATCAACAAAAGAAAAACAATATTGTCATTAACTTTTTGAATCATTTAGTGTTAAGAAGAGATAACATATTTGATAATAGGGATAATTTGTTGATACATGTCTTATAGTTGGCTCTAAAAATGACTTCATTGTGAAGAAATGTATAAAAGAAACAACAGTTGACATTGAATATTTTTATAACCTGCAGTTATTCGTTAGATATTCAAAAATGAAACAAACATGTAAATTCAGCTTACTGTATTTATGAAAATTATTTTTAAGCCTTGGGCAGTGTGTATAGATTTAGTTGTATATAGATCCGACAATATCTAGATGATTTATATCAATGAAATATTTTTATTTTGAGTTGGAATTAAGTTGCAATTAGCCGAGTTAATGGTATATTTTGTAAATATTGAGCTATTTCTGTTTTAACATATATTAAATGAAAAGATTAGCATGTGTGTAAATAAAAATGATTTCATCAAAAGGATAGTTCTTACTTTAGATGTCGCATTATTAACATTGAAACATCTGGTTATGTATTTGACTGGTTGCAGGAGAATAATTGTATATTCTGTACTACCATTACATAGCCAGACATTCATGATTCTGACCAGGCACTTTTCTATTACTGCTGAATTACAGAACTCTAGACCTATCACACCTTAAAATAACAATGGACAGTGCGAAACTGAAAGCTTGACAAGTCCATTTATACTTATAACAGTCAAAGTTAAAAATATTTTAATAATGGTCTATACGAATGTATATTTTTGTTTAAAATCTGCGCCTTTTAGCCCAATTTGACTTTGATTATATTTGATTATCTTTCTCGTAGAAATGTTTGATTGATAGCTGATGTTTTCAAGAACCAAACGTTAAAATTATGATGTTACTTTTAAAAAAAAAAAATGGGTTTTAATGAAAAATTTACAACTATATTTTTCTAGCAAATGATTAACAATTCTCCCAAAAGATCCTGTTAAAGACTGTCCAATATTTATTTATATCTAATCAATATTTATAATGTCCTGTAAGGTTTTGTATGAAGTTGAGCAAATTTTGAGTTAAGTAATTACTGTACATATGTCTTGAAGAATTCTTTTAAATAATTATGTATATATTCTGACTGAGTAGGACATGTTTTTGTTGTGTAGATATATTTAACAACACGTTTTCCTTGTTTCCCAAGACTAGGTCTCGAACTATGAGATAAAGCCTATTATAATATCCAATATGAAATGGATTTAGATCTTTTGTTTTGATATAAGTGTACGATCTTAAGTGAAAAAAAGCTCAAAAAAATGATTTCTTCTTGTAAGTCTTTAAATATTAAGCAAAAAAAAAAAAAAAAAGATGAAAACAGTTTGGAAAACCTAATTTTCATAATATCTTAAAGTAATAAAAAAAAATGATGAATTCATATGAATAGTTTAAAATGATTTGAAAAATTCAACTAGTCTTGTGGCATGTCTGTTACTGCACCAAAATGTTTTTTTAAGTTCAATGTGTCCCAGGTTTTAGATAATTTAGAAGTGAAATATTTATTTATTAGCTACCCGGTGTTAGAATGGTTAGTGTGTGTGGGTTTGAAGGATTCAACATGACACTGTTGTAATGTAACCTAACTGTTGCCATGTTAAAGGCAATAATCCCTTGGCAACCAGTATAGAGCCAGTCCAGCCTGTAATTCCATAGAGTCTGACCAGGCTTTATACTAGTACCTTCCAATGTTATTAAAATCGTATTCTGTCATCTGAACCCTTCGATAGCTTCATAGGGCGAAAAGGATGATCTGATTTTAATGAGATTGAGTGCCTTCTTAACTTTGATATGAGAAAATCTTGTTCAATTTCACTTTCAAAGCATGACAACTGCTTTAGATAAAATAAGAAAAATAGACATTAATGACCAAGTTACAACAGTGTCATGATGAATTCTCAGTTTATATTCTGTACAATTACTGAATGAAATGCCTGAATATAGTGAATTAGATTGTAAAATGTACAAATATGGACGGGTACCATAAATGAGGAAATATATACATTAGAGGGAGGTACTGTAGTAACTGTTGTTCAGAATCCAGTACCTGTTATAAATGTGTTGTTGTTGTTGTTTTTATTAATAGAGGAATTTTGATGTGTAGAAGTTCTGTAGAGATGGTCAAGTAAAGTAGAATCCAGGACAAATGGGAGAACGAGTATAAACTTGAAGTAAATATGGTCAGTGATAATCCTTAACTATGATTGGCTATGTGTTATCATGCTGTTAAAACAGTGTATAGAAATATAATCCAGGTAAATGAATAGAAAATAAATATTTCTCAAGGTGCTTACTAATCATGTCTTAAAAGTTTTGTTAAAATGTTTATCGGTAGAACTTGTGCAATGTTTTAAGTGCTTTCCTAAAAGAAAAAGAAAATTCATTTTTTTGTTGGAATTTTATGTTTTCTGTATTTTGTAGTCGGAGGAATTGAATCATGGAAATGCTAGAATAAGGAAGGTTTAACAGTCTTTATGCTAGCATATTTATCATAAGAGATTCTTTGAACTAGAAACTAAGTCTTAGGTCAACTAAAATTGTATGTTTCTTTCTCTCATATTGAAATGTTTTGTAAGGCACTAACTCAAGCTAATTAAAAACCTAATTCTGAATTGATGTTTTCTATGATGTATAATTATATAACATCAGTTTTTCCTCTGGAAGTTCATCTTAAACTGTTAATATATCCTTAAATAACTATTTGATGTACACTCTACCAATGTACAAACAATGAATTTGTTAACAAAACCTAATTTAAAAAAAAAAAATGTCATGATTAAAATATTTCAAACTTCAGAACCAGTCAGTTAGTGTTCTTGTTTCTATAATATTTGTCTGAATTTTTACCATATTATGATTTATATACTCAATATTATGTGTTGTCCTTATTGTACTTGGCATAGTTTTTTGAGTTGGAACCTGGCTTTCCATGTTTCATACATGTCAGTTTGGCTGGTTTCCACTTTAACTGGTTTCCACTATCTCCTTGGTATAGTGTGTTGATTATTGGTTTAGATCTGAGTTCTGAAATTAGACTGTGTACTTGTTTTGTTTTTTATGTGAAGTAGATTAAAAGATGTTGTGCAAACCAGTTGGTTTTAAAGTTTGGAGAAATGTTGTGGCGTGACACTGTCAGCATTGTTAGAAGTATTAATTCATCGGTCTATAGAAACTGTTGGTGCTTACAGGATGTTGTTTAAAACCCATTTAAAAGAGCCCTAGGTATTCAAATATGTCATGCTGTGTGATTGGTCAGGAATTTGTGACATCATTCATAAAATTATGACATCGTCCATTATCATGTCTAAAGCATTTAAGATACTTGTTCATGTTATGAAAGGAAATTATGTTGACAAACTTGTGTCTTTTTCAAAAGATATATAAATACAGATAATTTATCCATGAAATGCTCAAACTTTCCAATATTGTCATTGATTAAAATCTGAGTTTGGAAATGAAGCTTTTTCATTGGTCAATTTTTAAATTTTAAATGACCAATCAGAATGTCTCTAAACTCAGTAAGGTTCTCTTTGTGTATCATTCCAATGAAGATATATTCAAAAATGTCTCAGAAATCATTTTCTCTGACCATTTGTTTGTGTTGGGAAAAAACACAAACATTCAGTGCATATGAATAAGGAGATTGTAATTTCAAAATTAATAAAGAGTACTTGTTAACTGTAAAATATTGTATTTTAAATAACAACATACCGTTTTTAGATGTAAAGCACTAAAAAAATATTTTGTTTGTCTTATTTATGTGTTATGTGATGAAATATATATCTTTGTGTATAAAATTAATAATTGTAAGTTATATTCTGGAAATGTTGAACATTTCTAGAATAAATCCCATCTGAAAATCTGTTAATATGTGTCTATTTTTCTTTGGTATGTTTCATTAAATGTTAAAATTATTTAAGATATTTATGGGGAAAAAACAAACTTTTTTCCTGATACTCCAGTATACCTCATGACAAAGGCTTATTGTTAAAACTGTTAATTACTTTCCCCTATTCAAGGGTTATTTTAATCAAAGCATGATCATAATGTAAGACCAGTGTCGCTTTTTTGACGATTTTTTACACAATAAATGATTTCAGTGAAAAATAATGTGTATTTCAGTAGAAGTTGTTTGTAACAAATGATTTCTGAAAGTAGTGATAAATACTTTTATAACAAGTGGCTGAAATTCAGTTCATTAAAATGATATTAAATTTTGATCAAAACATTTGCGATAAACTATGTAACTTTTTGGTTTGTTTATTGAAAAGTCTGTTAATTTGATGAAGAATTTGGCTACATTTTATACCAGCTTTTAACCTAACAAATTAAAAACGGATATTTTTTTGATTAGAGAGATTCAATAATTTAATTTATTTAATTTAAATTAATGGGGATTTTCTCTTCTAAATCATGGAGCAACACTTTCATCACGCAACCACTTTAAAGTCTTTCTGAAGGACGGTAATGTCCGGTCAGCCCCTGTTATTATTTTCTTTTATACAACAAATAAAACTTGATAAATTTCCATGAGTTTTTATGATTATGTATATTACGTTTTTAATCAATGTTTTTTACAGGCAGTGATCTGAGATTTTATTATATATTTGTTTGGTTCTGTATGTACAAAAAGAATACCATTTAATCATTCTGATTAATATTCAATGCATAAAAGTTTATTTTTCTGTGTGAGAACAAATAAGTTTGTATCTCGTCTGCATATGTGTAAATACTTTATGTGTCATGTGTAATGTCAAAAAAAACCACTGCATATTGAATTTGCTTTTACTTTTTAACATGGTTTTTAACATGCGTAGGCCTCCCATGGAAGTGTTTATAAAGGTATTATAATTACTTTGGTACTTTAGACTTGAGGTGAAAAAAATTGAATAATAATATGCTTGTAACTTGTAGATGTTTACTGTGTGCTTTCAAGTTCACAATATACAAGTTGTTATTGAAATGTCCCATCTTTTGTTTCTTTGAAATTTTAACCTAGTAAATCCTCTTTTTTTTTCAACAAAAAAAAGTTGATAATTTAATATTCATAAAGAAAAAAATTCTGTAAATTTCTGTTAATCATACGCAACAAATATCCAATTCCTTCTATTTTCACTTCCAGAATTTTGACAATGTTTTAATGTCAAGACATGCCTGCATGTTATGTTGTGTAAAAGCAGACTGAATATGCAGATATATGTTATTTATTAAAATCATAGTGTTTCACATTTATCATTCTACATTCTATTTATTATTACTTTTGTACATGTACTTGTATTTCCTTGCATTGTTCTGTGGGTATATATATAATAAAGATAGTGTATTTGGTTCCAACAGACCATGGTAATATATGAATAACGACTGTGGGGATGGGTGGGTATTTTTGAGGTCTTTATGTCATCATTGTGATCTTTGTTTTATACTTGTGTCACTGACAGGTATGTTCCAGACAAGTGTTATTCTGAGGGTCCTGGTTTAGTCCCAGTCAGGCTGCATATTGTGAGGAAGTTGAAACTGTACTTGGAAAGGTGTATGCTCAAACCTTCCAACATTCTCCAGTCTAACTTGTGACTGTCATGTAAAAAGTAAATTGTCCAGAAAAATGCATGGATTCAGTTGACTTTTCCACAGAAAAGATATTTTGTATCCAAAAATTATGTGTGAAGGTGAATATTTGTGTGAAATGAAGTTACAGCCATTAATCTGTTTTAAACCTCAGTATAGCTGAATGAGATGTATTTTATATACCCACAGAATAATTAGAGATTTTATGAATGTAAAAAAACGACTGCTCTATATGTTTACGTTCTATTTGTAAAGATTATTTGTTGTTCATGTTTGTTTATTTATTTATAATTATAAATTATCAGATAGATTAGAATGGTTATTATATTGAATGCATTGTTTGACTATATTACCATGGTAACCAGTAGATTCCATTGAGCGACTGAATAACTTTTCACTTCATGAACAAAAAAAAAATAATTGGAAAAAAAAACATATAATGTGGATTACACATTTAAAAATAGAAAGTTCATTACAGACACATAGCATGCATGATTTTATTGTAATTGGTTGCCATGGAAACTGAGATAAGTGGCTTTTAAGAGATATCATTTTTTTGAGTCACATTTGTATAAAAAAAAATCTTCAATAAAGTTGGACAATTGTAAATAATTCAGACTTCAGTTGTTTTTCTTTATGTGTAAAAAGCGTGGAAACGCTACCGTTAGAATGCTTTCCCACAGTCACCACTGCAAAAGTTGTTTTGCACTCTTCATTGTTACGGCCTAGTTTAAAAAGGTGACATTGTCTGAAAAGTGGGACTCTTAAATTCCGTAGTCCTAATCTGAAAAAAATAATCTTCCAATAGCCTTAATTCACATCGATACCAAGGTCGGCGGCCTTGCCTTTAATAACTGCAGAATCCGGCGAATGTGAGCTAAATTGAGTTACAGAGGCTGACACCGGCAAACATACACTTTCACTATTCTATTTATGGCGCTGTCGGTACAAAATTGGAATGCTGTTGACAGAAAAATCAATGTTGCACAATATTTGAGCCATACAATGGCCCAGAGTCTTGGAATCTAGGGCAAGCTTTTCAGACATGGTTGCTATTGGAAACGCCTGATATCTAATTGACAATTTCTGATTGTCCCCTAACATATATCTGTGTTTTTTGAGCTATTATTTTCTACTCGAAGGAATTTGTCTGTCATTGATTCAGATCATATACCATAAGCTATGTATTCATAAACTTTTATCGAATGATACAGACTAGATTTTGTGTAAGTAACTTTTTATAGTGTTTATAAACTAATAACTTGTCTACCCGCTTATTTTTGCGTACTGGCAGCTTCACTGTGAAGGAGATAATGTCTTAATTGGGGTAAATAAAAAAGCTTCAAAGGGCTTAAACAAACCAACAGACCCATATGACAATTACACACGCCATTTACATGCTATAAATCCACATATTTTCCACGACACGAAGGCTATAGGCCTCAACAGACGGTAGGATTTAGTTGTACAGCACTAATTAGAGATAAGATGTACAATTTTCAAAGCTATACAACACTTGCATTCAGACGGTAATTCTATACTGTAAGAATCTTCTGAGGTTTCCCCTGAAAAGGATCCCTTTACATTGATCCTTTACATACTTTACTCACTTAATACTTTTTTTCGCCATGAGTAATGATTGAAACACCTCCATTAAAAAAATATATATTTTTTTTTAATGTGAAGCCTGACCGAGACTCAAACCTGGACCCTCGGAATACCGTACTGCGGCTCTACTGACTAAGCGATGTGGCCGCCTACAAACAACCTCCCCTCCCCAAATTCATGTAATTAGAGAACAACTCAATACCGTGACATAATCATTTTCGGAATAATTTTGGATTCGAACACAACACAACATTGGGTCTCCTGAAGAGTTTTTCAACATCATTTTTACCCAATCTTACTACTATGTTTACCTTTTAGCCCTAATTGTTCTGGAATTTCATTCATTACATCCATTATCAGGAGATAATTTGCTTATCTGTTACTTGTCATTGTGGGAGGTCTGTAAAAATCGGTACGACAAGATTTTCAAAATAGAACACGTCCTATCCCTTACATCTCGACATAAGGTTTCCGAAATCAAGAAATAGTAGCCTTCACACATTAAGATTTGTCTGTACATCTTAGTTTTAATTGGTGTTGTACTTCAAAATCCTACCGTCTGTTGAGGCCTTATGTGTACGTGCAATATCAAATTGCACCTTCGAGTCAATTCTACAATCATGGCATGAAAGTCGACGCGATAAATCAATTTTTGACGTAAAAAAACTAGATTTCAATCATAAAGAGCGGCATTCATAACAACCCGCTCTGGTATTTGAGTCCCCCCACTACGGAATGCCGTTAGGGCCATCGCCTATGAATGTATTGATCTAAAACGCGATAGTCGATAGTACGATGGTGAAAACGCGAAATCACGAAACTACGATGGTGAAAACGCGAAAGCACGATGATGAAAACGCGATAGTACGATAATGAAATCGCGACAATACGATACTACGATGATGAAAACGCGATAAACTATCGTGTTTTCACCATCGTACTGTCGCGTTTTCACCATCGTAGTTTCGTGATTTCGCGTTTTCATCATCGTACTGTCGAGTATCGCGTTTCAGTTCAAACCATTCATAGGCGATGGCCCTAACGGCATTCCGGAATGCCGTTAGGGCCATCGCCTATGAATGTGTTAATCTGAAACGCGATAGTCGATAGTACGATGGTGAAAACACGAAATCACGAAACTACGATGGTGAAAACGCGATTGTACGATGATGAAAACGCGATAGTACGATGATGAAATCACGACAGTACGATGGTGAAAACGCGATAGTACGATGATGAAAACACGACAGTACGATGATGAAAACGCGACAGTACGATGATGAAAACGCGATAGTACGATGATGAAAACGCGATAGCACGATGATGAAAACACGACAGTACGATGATGAAAACGCGATAGTACGATGGTGAAAACACGATAGTACGATACTACGATGATGAAAACGCGAAATCACGAAACTACGATGGTGAAAACGCGACAGTACGATGGTGAAAACACGAAAGTTTATCGCATTTTCATCATCGTAGTATCGTACTGTCGCGTTTTCATCATCGTACTATCGCGTTTTCATCATCGTACTTTCGCGTTTTCACCATCGTAGTTTCGTGATTTCGCGTTTTCATCATCGTACTATCGACTATCGCGTTTCAGATCAACACATGCATAGGCGATGGCCCTAACGGCATTCCGTACCCCACACTATTCAAACGTGATCGATCCGCTGTTTGGATAGGTCAGGTTACAACATGAGACATTCCTGTGTCTTCTTTCTATTTAGTTTAGTGGGTCATCTATGTCACACACGAACAATAAAGATATTATGACATAGAGAAAATGGGTCACAACAAATAAATTTACATTCAAGGGGTTTTATCAGTTTGTTTAAATATGAAAATGAGTAGCTAGATTTAACTCCGGGAACTATTTATTGCCCGACACCTGGCGCTTTAAATTTGTGCGCATATCTGGTCGGCAGCTTAAAAATGCCCGACACAGTTGCCTATCATGCGAATTTTTCTACGCCCTTCACCCAAAAACTATTAACATGCAGTTGCTAATGTACAACAGTTGTTGTTAAATGGTTTGTTGTCTCATTTATGAAAGTAAAAGCTATTCTTGTCAATAAAAGCTGTTACGTTGAGATTTAAACATATCTGACCTAGATACGTCACCAGATTTAGTATAAAATGATGGACACATACGCCCGAGGCATAAAAGTGAACATTCTGAGTATTGAAAGCTACAAGGTCACACCTAAAGTGACATTTTTGTGATTATATTTAGTTCAACTGAACCTATTTCAGGAGTGAGTGAAGTTCAATAAAGGAGCGCTCACTATTTAATGATTTATCAATAATGTACATTTTGAAAACCGAATTGATTTTGTAAAACCAAATTGAACAACGTTAAGAAAAACGTTTGGACCTCACGACAAGGCCGAGGCGACTTTCCCGCTTTACCGGTAGAGGAAAACCTTTCGTGCTCCTCAGTGCAATATTTCAGACTCGAACTGGCACCCAAGTAGGACCACCACCAAAGGTAGCTGGATAGCTTCCTCACATGAAAGAAGCCAAAGTGCTTAGCGGAGACCCTAAAGCAAGATTCAATCCCACAATGGAGAGGAGCAAGCGCTTTTAAGTCAAAGACCTTAACTTCACCACTAGGTCACGGATACAGTACTGCTTGAAACATTAATATTGTTGGTGAAAATCGTGATGTAACAATAATATGTATAGTACTATAAAAGTATAGTCACTTATATTGAATCTCGTGTTTTGGCAAACTATCCTACATTGAAACGTAAGCTGAACATTATCCAAATTATTTGTAGAAAATGATTAAACAATTGGTTATATTTAAATACTACAATGCCATGATCAATTGGTACGAATACAGATTGTTGTAACGTATTTACTTTTCAACTAATCTACAATTTACGCAATTTTTTATTTTAACTTTGGCCCAATCCCGGGGAGTAGCAGGGACCCTGAGAAAAGTTCTGTACCTACAACAGTCAGATGGGAGAAAACGAGCATAAAGCCTAGACATACCCTCGGCCATTTCCCTCTCAAAACCATCGTTTTCAATTAGCCAGTGCGGCGACATGTGGCCTCAGCTTATCCCCCACCCTTTCGATGAGACCGAGGTTTACTGACCACCAGCTTTAGTACATATTTGACAGATTTAATTATGAACCAGGTAGAACAACAAAGTGCCTCGTGTTTTATGACATATATTGAAGACTTCAATTTTGACACACAATTAGGATGAATTAAAGTTTTGCGATCTCAATGTAATGTCTACCACCGAATAATTTTAACTGACTGTACATTATATTATGTCCTTTCCTATCAAAGACGAGATGGATAAGGGGAGGTAATAATTAGTGAGCCTTAATTTTTCTATCAGAATTACTAGTATTGCAAGCAGTGTTTGTGCAGCTGCAAATCATTGCAAGACGACTCTTGTCAATTATAAACAATTAACTTATTTATGTTTCAATCACCATCCCTACCGTTGTTCAGACATTGTAGGTGCAATTATACTGGTTATTATCGCGACAAAATTTTAAAATTGGCACATTGTTTTTGAATAAATATTAAAGGAGAAGCAGAAGAGGAACATAACACCACATTTTAAAGTCATTTCGAGACATTTTAGATTTTACATTTTTTTCACCTAAGGGCCGTAACCTCGGTCGGACCTACACTTATCACAAGCATGTTGATTAGCTTCCCTCACGTGATTTTTTTTAAATTTCGAATTAAAGTTGTGAACAAATACCTATATTAAGAAAGGAACGAACATCAGTCTTTTTAGGGGTTGAATCTTATATGTAATGCATGATGATGACAATAGACAGACCTGTCTGCACTCACAAATTACCGCCTTACAAACTTAAAGACCGTAAACTATGAATACGTAGATATCAGGAATTATGTGTGCTGTTTTGATTCCAGTAAATAACATTTAACTCAGTTTAATTCATTTACCATAGGTTCTTCTGGAAATTATTGAAAGTACCTTAATTAATATTTTCGCG